TCTCCCCAAAGGATATTCTAAATTATTCCATTCATTTACACTACAAAGTTTACCCAGTCAATAAATTACCAGCACAGATAGTAACCAGCTACTATTTCGACATCGGATGAAGGCTGCCAGCCAGCAAGGACACAAACAAAAGACCAAATCCCAATGTTACTACCTTTTTCAGGAAGAAACCCCCTGGAATTTTGATACAGGGGCATAGGACATCCTCCCTCTTCCACATCATTAATCTTTCCAGCAGTGACTTGCCAGCTAAAGCAAAGTGAACTTGCTGTCCATTTTACTGGCTCGCACTTTTAACCACGCTAACGGATCTGCTTACACAAAAACATCTGAGCCACGGTCCTTGGTCTCTTTTAAATAACTATTTCACATCTTCTAAGAGAGCATAAGATGGAAAACGCTGCATAAAAATTTAAGGAAAAAGTTATATAGGGATCATAGCCTTCTCTCACTGCACACTTAGAAATAAATAGCTTTTCCTCCCTTCCCCCACTCAAACTTGAAATCTTGCTTCAAGGAAATATTATCAGCCTTAGGAAAAAAAAAATTAGCAAATTCACTTAGGTCTAGAATCAATTATTTTAAATGCCCTTTTTATTCACCTTGCATTAAAGCCAAGTCTAATCTCATCTTGTAATTCTAGACTATTCATGCCATATTAAAATCTGGCAGCTATCAGCCAACCTGGGTGAGCTTCTCGTGTAAGGGATAAAAACCGAGATCAAGAAAATTCACGTGATTCCTATGCAGTATTAATATGGGAATAGATAATAAGCCATGTCCAGAAACACATCCACATTTATGACCTAGTTTTCAGTTAAGATACATGCCCTCCAAAAACTTGAAGCTCCCGAATAACTGAGTGACTCCAAAAACACAACGTTTTGCCACCTTTCTTTCTTTGGTTCAGGCACTTTGGAGAGATTGGCACTGACATAAAAGGGGAAAAAGTGCTATGAAACTATGAACTGAAACACTTATCTTTCAAAGTTAATTTTTTTCCTACAGAACTACACCAGAAGCCCACAGAAAAGCTGACACTGCCACCTCAGAGCAGCATGGCTATTCTTGGTGTTTTACCATTACAGACCCTCGGGGTTTGGTGGCCACTGGGAAATGCTGGCAGAGCTATTCCAATAACCTGGATTTCTAATTTCAGCTGTCTGGGTGGGGAAGGAGAACTGACCTCTCTGCTCATCCTTCATCCCTCCACAGCTGCCCAATCACCCCCAACAGCCAACACATGAACTCAGTCCCAGGGAGAATGGGAGGATCCCACATCGAAGGAGCCCCATCTCCCACGGAGCACCTGAACATAAAGTACCCTGAAGAAGCCAGCATCCATCCAAGCACCGATTTGTAGGGTGGACAACAAGCCTGGGGCAACCGGTAGAAAAAGCCTGATTTCCCTGTGGTGATTACCAGCAGGCATTTCTCCCTTTCCTGAAACAGCAGATGAGATAGCCCCTCCTTTCCACAGTTTTCAACAACAAAAAAATAAATTAAAATTAAATACTATCTCAGTATTCACAGTCCAAGCAAGGACCATAAAGTAGAATGAGGTCTCTGCCTTTGACAGCACCAGGTCTGACTCTTTTGCAGTTTCCCCACATATTCCCAAAGGGAAATAGGATGGGCATTTTGAAACCATTCATCTAAATAAAAGGAATATTTGGCTTGCCGGTCGCCAACTGGCAAAGCTTGTATTCCTTACTCATGACCCAACATTTTACTTAGGAGTGCAACACTGCAACACTGTTATGCTGAAGCCTCACCACACAGCAATTGTACGCTGCCAATTAAAATTAATTATAGCCGCTGAAAACCTTAGAATGCAAACCCTTCCAAAATGCAAGGGCACACTAATCCTGCTCTGGCCCTTCAGCTTCAGGAAGGAACAATAACCTTATTTTCTAGCTAGAATTCAGCCACAGCTTTCACCTCTTCAGACAGGTCTAAAGCCCGGATCGTTTGGTTAGCGCTTGGATCCCGCCCTAATCAGAGCCATGGTCTCAGTTCTGAAGCCTAAAGCCACCTTTTCAATGAAATAAAGCCACTGAACAAGAATGGCTCACGAGGCCTTTGTACAGACAGACAAAGACAGACACACAGGCAACAGCACAACTGGGCTGAAAAACCGCTGAGCCAGGACAGGGGATTAATTCCTGTGTGGAACCTCAACATCGCTCGCTGCAACTCCCCAGCTCGATCCTAGCGAGCACAAGCGCATCTCCAGATGAGAAACAAAGTACAGGTTGTCGCAATTTTTCCACAAAAAGGCTCTGGGCTGCGTTTTGACGGTGTGAGGCTGCAGAGGAAGGCATTTTGTCTCCCAACAGCACAGAGCTGATATGATGGCTTCCACTCAGTCTTCTTGCTACCTATAGCCGAACTTCTAATTTGTGCAGAGGAACAGACAAACCGGGGCATATCTGACTGGCACAGCTCACAAAAAAAAAAAGAAGTTTAAAATGCCACGCATAAAGGGAATTTCTTGACAGCACCCTCTGAATATTTTCCCTAAAAATCCCCAGCTGAATTGAGAGAGTATTCTACAAGTCAAAAAGCCAGAGACAACACAGCCATTCACAGCTTTGCCTCCTCCATGCAAACCCAGCCCAGAGGCACAGGCTTTAATCTCGTGGTCGTTAAAGGCTTTTGTCATTCAATGAGGCTTTCCCAACCCAGTGGCTTCAACACTCCCACACTATCTCGCGTTACCTGGCCTCTGGCATCACCCCCAAACCTGCACACAGCACTGTTTAAGGAGACCCAGCAGCCCCCCACCTTCTCCTAAGGATTCACACCAATTTCTCTAAAGGAGTCAAACAACAGTTTTCTTTCCATAATTAGAGGCCTAAAATAAATCCCGTATTAAACTGAAAATATTTAGCACCTATCTGATTTAAGCTGAAGCACATACAGTGGGAACCAATTGACACTGGAGAATTACACAGATTTCATCACATGCAGTCAGCTCAAGAATTCCTAAACAAGCGTAACTAGGAATAAGAAAACCAATCACCAGGTGAAAAAGCTTCACAGTGCAGTTCTCCCTTCCCAGGCTGTTCCTTAGGAGTACATGAGCCAGGCCCTGGCCCTTCCATGCAGTGTTCCCCAACACATTTGGAAGGCTTTGGCCATTAAAGCCGCCCTATTACAGAAAAGATGTCGAAAATACATCTGTGTCAATGCCCCCGGCAGAGCATCCTCAGAAAGCCCGAATTCCGGCTGAATTCCGGATTCCTGCGATGGCTCTGCAGTGATGGGGCTGGGCTGGAGAGATTGACACAGGACTGACACTGATATTGGACTCTTCCAGCGGGTAACCTGCCCTCTGACAGCATCCCAGTCATCATCCCTCATGGATTTCAGGCTGCTGAAGCAGAAGCCTCACACGCTCAGAATTCGGTTCTCAGCAAAGCCAGACAAAGCCCAGGCCTGCCCCAAGGCTCCCCTCCAGCAGCTCTCTTTTAAACCCCCTTGGCAACCCCTCAGGCTCTCCCCTTTCCCCACAAACCCCGCAGTACCCCCCAGCCTGAGGGGAGAGAGGGATTCGGCCCCTCTCACCAGCCCACCGTATCTTGCCCGGTTAATGTGTCTCCCATTCTGCATCCCTCTCTAATAAAAGCCGGGAATGCACAGTTACGAAGACCGAGAAGTGTTCCCCATAATTCTTATTAAGGGAGCGGTGCTGCAGTGAATTATGATTATGTTGTGTAATGAAATCATCAGGGAACGTGGCTGCACATCTATCCCCAGCTATCCTAGGCAGCCAGGAGTGATTTACAAACAGATTGGGCAAACATTAAAAAATAAACAAACAATCGTGAGCTCAGACTTATATCACCTTATTTCCATGCCACTCACAAATACTCCTGTAGACCATAAAGCTCAGTCACTCAAGTGGGAATTTAAAGATCCCAAATTATAACCATGATTTAAGCCTAGTTCCGCCTAAATTACACGGTAATTCAGACTGAAAATAAAAAAAAAAATTTAAAGTCTGTCCTAGGTTTTTCTCTTAGATAGGTCTCACTCAAATGAATGCCAATGAAAGTGAGGTAACAGACACTAAAAGCTTTGCAAGGAAAAAATTAAGCATTGTACTGTGGTCATTTTTACAAAAGAAAAGGATACAAAAATCACCAAGAACAGGGTAACAGCAAAAGGCAAAAACCAGCAAGAGACAGCATCTAAACCTTCATTCTCTTTAGATGTTACAGGATGACTTTAAGTATTACTGGATGATATTACTTCAATCTGAAGACCTAGAACTTTTATGCAAAAATATTCCTTTCTAAAAGGTATTTGGACAGGTCTTGGACCTAACCAAAGCACTAGGCACACGATGCCTAAAAAAAGGCAAGCACTGGGGCCCTTTGGAAGGTTTGATTCACCAGAAGCTGCCAACACCGACAATTTCATGGCAGGGAACAAGGCAGGTCGGGCGGTGGGGGTGGGGGGAGCGAGGGGGAAAGCAGCCTCTCACCCTTTATGAAACCATAATGCATTTCTATTTGCAGCAAAAGGGAATTTTGCTCAGGAAAACGCACCGACGGCCGTTGTCATTTAAAAGCAGAGCTGCTGCCCCGCGAAGGGGCAGGGCCCGGGCCGGGCAGCCCCGCTCTCTTCGGCCCCTTCCCACGGCCGGGGCCGCCACGCGTGACCTTCGCTGCGCCAGGCCGGGTCCAGCGCGGCATCCTCGGCGGCGGCAGCGCCGGGCCGAGCGGGTTAAGCGTGGGAGGAGTGTACATAAGGTGGTGGATCCCGAGCCAATAGGGATATTGTGCTATAGTTAGACACTGGATCCTAAGCGATGGTGACCATAAAGGCTGCGTAGGGCTGAGCCGCTCTGGATGATAGCGGCACGGTGCCCTTAGTTCCCGGCTTATAAGGCAGGGGGAAAATAAATAAATAAATAAATAAATAAATAAATAAATAAATAAATAAATAAATAAATAAAGCACAGGAGGATCAGCCGGGCTTACCTGCAGTTCACACCACGCGACTTCCACCCATGTCTCCGTGTCCAGGCCCTTATAGACCGTTTTGAAGGATCCCCGCCCGAGTTCAATATCAAACTTTAGGAACCTGCCATCCAGCGAGGTGGCAACGGCTTTCATATCAGCCTCTTCCTCGGGTTCCTCTTTCTTAGCCTTGCCCTGGTCCTTGGCAGCATCCTGCGCCTCTCTCCGCTCCGCATCCTTGCCGGGCTCCTTCTGCTCCTCGGCGCCCGCGGCGCTGCCCGGGGCCGGCGCTGCCCGCGGTTCCCCGGGGGGCTCGGCCTCCCGGCCCGCCGCCTCCGCCGCCCCCTGCCCCGCCTTTGCCCGCTCCGCGATTATCCTCCTGGTTTTGGGGAGCAGGATGATTCTCCGCTGGTGCTCCGCCTCGGGCAGGTCGAACGCGGGCTCCTCCTGGTCCGAGTCCACCACGCTCCGCCGCAGGAACCGCTGGTGGACCAGCTTCGGGTCCCTGGAGCCGGGGCCGCGGGGCGGCGGGGTGGGGGCCCCGGGGGCTCCAGGGGCTCCCGGCACTGCAGCAGCGTCCGTGCCCGCGGCCGCCCCGCTCCCCCCGCCGCCGGGCCCATCCATGTTCACACCGGTCTCCGCAGCCGGGGGAGCGCCGGGCTCGGCAGTCGCTGGAACCCCGCCACGGCCGCCGCCTCTGCCGCCCCGCCGAGGTGCCGCTCTGGCATCGCCCCCAGTTTCCATCCGGCCCGAGGTCTCAGCGCCCGCCGCCGCCGCCTCCCCGGCCCGGGGGAGTCACCGCCAGCCGCGCCCGCGCCGCCACCTGCGCGGGGGCGAGCGCAGCCCCGCGGCCCGGCCCGGCTGCCCCCCCGGGCACGTCCCCCGGCCCCGGGGCTCCGACCAGCCGGGCCCCCGGGCCGGGCCGCGGCCGCGCTGTCCCCGGCAGGGGCGCGGCCGGGAGCGCCGGTGCCGCTGCGGGCTGAGGTGCGCGGCGGGGCCGCCTCACCTGCGGCGGGGCCGCGCACAAAGGCGCGGCGGGGCCGCTACTTACGCGCGGGGCCGGGGGCTGCGGCGCTCGGCGCCATGCGGGGGAGGAGGGGCGACTCCGCCGAGCGTGCGCTGCCCGCGCTGCGCGGCGGGGCCGGGGCAGCCGCTGCCGCTGCCGGTGCGGGGCTCCGCGGCTCAGCTCAGCTCAGCTCGGCTCGGCTCGGCTCTGCTCGGCCCGCCCCTGCGCCGCAGCCCGCCCCCGCCGCAGCGCCGGCCCGGCCGCGCCTCCCGCTCCGCGGCTCGGCGCGCTCTGCCCGCGGGCGGCCCCGCCGCCGCTTTTGTCAATGGGGAGCGCTCCCGGGCGGCGCCCATTTAAGGCACCGGCGGTCGGCGGCCGCCAATGAGGCTGCGGAGGGCGGGCGGCCCCCGCCGTGTCCCCAGCCCCTCGGTCCATCCCCCCCGCCCGGCCCCGCCGCAGACAATGGGAGGGTCCCGCGCTCAGCAGGTGACCGCGCGGCCCCGAGAGCAGCCCCGGAGAGCAGCCCCCGAGGGCGTCCCCTCCAGAGCATCCCTTCCCGAGCATCCCCTGAGAGCATCACACACACACACACACACACACACACACACACACACACACATCTTCCTCTGAGCATTGCCCCGAGAGCGTCCCCACCGCGAGGGTGCGGGTGTGGGTCCATCCCATCTCTGGATGCAGGAGATGACTACGCCAAGCAGCCGGTTATCTCCGGGTGAGAGCAAAGGCAAAGTGACTTGGAGGGAACCAGATGCTCTTCCCACTCGCCACCTTTCAGCGTCCCTCAAACGGAAAACACGACCAGGGCCCGACTGGCCACGGGTGGCCACTGCAAACACCACACAGCCCCTGTGCTCAGTGTCGCACTGAGACCCCCTTCCAGTGCCTAAAGGGGCTCAAAGAGAGCTGGAGAGGGACTTGGGACAAGGGCTTGGAGTGACAGGACAAGGGGAATGGCTTCCCACTGCCAGAGGGCAGGGTTAGATGGGATATTGGGAAGGAATTCTTCCCTGGGAGGGTGGGCAGGCCCTGGCACAAGTTGCCCAGAGAAGCTGTGGCTGCCCCATCCCTGGGAGTGTCCAAGGCCAGGTTGGACGGGGCTTGGAGCAACCTGGGCTGGTGGAAGGTGTCCCTGCCCATGGCAGGGGGTGGAATGAGGTGAGCTTAAAGATCCTTTCCAGCCCAAGCCGTTCTGTGATTCACCCCTAGGTGAGGTCGGAGATGCTGGACATGAGCTTTGCCAGAGGCTGCGCCCGGTGACAGCTGTGACATTTCTGCTCTGTAAATTCACAAAAGGACTCTGGTCACCACTGCTTTCTCAAGTATTAGGTTCATACAAACATACCATATGTTTTAGTAATTAAAATTTAAGTAAATAAAAAAGTATAAAAAGAGAAAGATTACCAAGTAATTATTCCCTGAGATTTCTGGAGGAAAAGGAAGCTGAGTGCCAGGCAACCATAATTAGTTCTTCTTTTAATTAATTCGTTTTTAGTTAAGAATGTTTTTTTAAAAAAACCAACCAAACACAAAAATTCCACACAACAACCCAAACAAACAAACAAACAAACAAAAAGTAATTTAAAAAACCCCAAACTTTTAAAATAAGAAAACAAGTTGTTGTTGTCAATAGAAACCCTGGTGCTTTATTTTTTATAAATCACACTTGACTAATAATTCAGCATTGTGGATGCATTTGATCTTTCAGTGGTTTGTTTTTTGAAGTGTTCATTTATCAATGATATTTCTAGGACTTGCAATTGTGGCATAAAACACAGATTTGTGTGATCTATACAAACCCAGAATTCCCAAACATTTGCCCTGTAAGTTGGGCTTTGCTCCTGTCCACAGACAGAGGCTTTGCACACAGAGAGCCCTCTGCAGTTATCAGGAGAAAAGCAGGGAAGGTGAAGAGCTCTGACACCTTCTCCCTCTTGTTCCATAAATTGACCTAGAACTCTCTTCCCAGCGAGGGAAATTCCCACCACCATGTACCAAAAAGGACAAGATTCAGGCTAATGAGAGGGCTAAAAGCAGCTGGCAGTGTTTCACTCTGCAGGTGGACAGGAGAAACAGGGAATATTCTAGAGCTGACCAAATACCAACCCCAAAACTCATAATCAAGAAAAATATGGGGGAAAAAAAAAGAGACTGGATTCCCCTATCTGCCTGTCAAGGCCAGACCTTCTTGGTGGAAAGCAGGGATCTGCACACTCTCAGGTAAGGAGAGTATCCCAAACCAGCCCCAAGAGGACACACAAGCACTGCCAGGCTGCAGTGGTGTCCCCTGACCCGTTCCCAGGGCTCTGCAAGAAAAACAAGACCTGTTCTCACACCAGTTTCCTCACAGCTGAGCTTTCTCCGGTGTTTGTTGTGCTGTTCGGTGCCAGATGGTGCCCAGAGCTCTTCCCGTGTCCATTTGTCTACCGAAAAATTAGCACAATTTGCATGTCACAAACTTAATCATGTTCCACTGTCAAGTGCTCTGAGTCTGCTACATGGAGGATCTTTTGTACTGAAATGGAAAGAAGAAACACCAGAGCGAGCTGGAAGCACCTTCACCCCTGAGAGCTCACTGGTATGCAGATGGCACTGGAAATTATAGCACATTTCAACTAACAGGCAGTGAAGGTGCTACCTCAGACAGTGACCTTAACCAAGCCTTTGACTTGGGAGAACTGCTCTTTGCAGGTATGAAAGCCAAGCTGCTCATCCCCCGGGTGAAATTCCCTCTCCATGCAGGAGGCTGAGTGAGCCACACGTTGTCCCAGAGCACAGATGGGCATTTCCACTTGACAAGCAGATTATTGCTGGTCTGTGTGAGACTCCCCTCACTGCTGGCAGGAACAGTCAGCAGCTCACCAACACAGAGCAGGACAGCTTGTCCCAGTCAATAGCTACTGTTAGTTTTAAAAGGGAGAAAAAATAACCATTTTCCCTCAGTAGCAGCCATTATTCTCTTCCCAAATTTGTTAGCTGTGAGTGAGGAAGTTCAGTCCAGTTCGACCAGCTTGACTTTCAGGTTCTCAGAGACTGAGAAATTTTTATTTGTTTAAAATAAATGTTTGCAGGGGACTGTGAAAACATTTATATTGGCCTCCGCTTTTCTGTTAACTTGCTTTTTTATACAATTTACAGCTTGACTGAAAACAGGTCAAATACCTATTGAGAGCTAATTTCAGTGTGCTCTTACACCTGTACGTGCTACTGACCCTAATGTAGCATTACGTAGTAATTGTGTTTTCTTTAAAAGAACAACAACCACCATTTAAAAACCCAGTTTCCCAATACGTTCTCCACTAGGTCACCTAGTGTTCTGTGCTAGCTGTTAGTTTATAGACACAACATAGATACAATAGTTCAAGTGACACAGAATCATAGATTCCTAGAAGGATTCAAGGTCATCTCATTCCACCCCCTGCCATGGACAGGGACACCTTCCACCAGCCCAGGTTGCTCCAAGTCCCGTCCAACCTGGCCTTGGACACTTCCAGGGATCCAGGGGCAGCCACAGCTTCTCTGGGCAACCTGTGCCAGGGTCTCACCTCCTTCGTAGTAAAGAACTTCTTCCTAAGTATCGGTTGATCTCAAAATAATGTTTGGACTTGATGTTAAAGGCCTTTTCCAACATTAACGATTCAGATTCTGTGATTCTAAGTCACCGAGTTACTCCAAACTTACCTCAAAGGTGTCAAAAAAGCATCTCTGTGTGCCCAAACGACAGATGCTGTTGGCAAACTCACCTGGCAGGTGCAGGGAGCGAGGCAGAGAGGGCTGGGAAGGTGTGCATCACCCACCCCGGGAGGGGCTGAGCTCCATTCATCTTTGTTTGCCCTCCAGGATGGCACCGGTACAACACCTTGTTCTAACGTGCATGGCGAGCTTAGACTGAAAAAAAAAACGTTCCGTGTTTTTAATTCCTGCAGATTTTAATAGGCACGACGATATGCCACCACATTAGCTCTCAGGTTCCTTAAACAAACAAGCTTAATGATGCTGCACGGCAGTTAATGGGCAGCGGTGTCTTCATTGCTGTATGGATTTATGAGGTGTGCTCGCTGCTCCCCGGCCCAGGAGCCAGCTGTGCCCGGGGATCTGTGCTCAGGCCTCCCTGAAGGGCACCTGAGTCAGCAAAATGACAGTTATTTTACAATTCCATACAATTTTCATGGAGCACCATCTCTCCACGCCGCCTCATGAAGGTGAGGTTTATTTTTTTTTTTCAGTCACCTTTCCCACCCCAAACCTGAGCAAGGACGAATAGTTGTTTTAAAATTACTGCCTAATTCCAAAGTTTGTATTGAATTATTTATCTGCTTTTACTTGCCAGGAAATGATGGCTTTGAGCCTGCCATAAACCCAAATGAATGACCCAATTAATTTCCCAGTGCTCCTGCGTGGCCACGGGGATTGCAAGAGTACAAACAGCACGCTGGGTTTTTTGAAAACCTCTCCCCCTTTTTGTGCCGTTTCCTGCTATGATCCCTGAGGTACCTTTATAATGAAAACAAAATAGATGGAAAGAGCAACACAAGGATTAGATCAAAACAAGGAGCAGAGCAAAATAGACCAAATCAAGGAGTTGAATGTGACACTTCATAGCACAGTTAGGACTTTCCAAAAAGGTAATGTTGAAGTTGAGCAAGGGAATAGCCTTTACTATTTATTTTTAGCATGACGCTGTATTTTATCAAAGAGCCCATCTAACACATTGTGTTGCAAAATAGGCCAATTTAAGACATAATGACAGTGCCATTATTCC